TGGGATTTAAGGTGGCATTTAGTGGCCGACGGGAGGCTAGCAGGTGGTGTGGTGGCTGCCTCTAGATCACCTGAGGTGGCAGTCTCCACTCTTTGGCTTCGTTTTTCCGACAAGAGGGGTTGGTATTGAGAGAGAGAGAGAGAGAGTCTGGACCTCTTTTTATTTATTAATTATTAAAAAATATAAATATATATTAAATTAAAAATATGAAAGAAAAATGAAAAATAAATATATGAGGGCATTACCGTCATTTCAATTTACCGAGGGACCAAATACGCATCAAAACTAGACCAAAAAAACCATCAATCTAAAAAAGTCTGAGGTTTTAATCAAACCTTAGAAAAAATATATAGAAAACATTTTGCAGTTTTGTATCATTTAAAGATGATATTAAAATATAATTAAAAAAATCCGAAATCAACCTACGTGCTGCGGAATCCCGTTCCCGATACCGTCATCCTACGAAGAAATCGCGTGCCACGTGTACCACTAAAATCATTTACTACCCTGGTAGCATGTCCACCTCATCTCCTCGCCATTCGGCACTGACCATCAATTTACCTCCCTCCAGAAGCATCGTCGTTTTACCTGCACATCTTCATCACAAACCGTTTAAAACCCCCAACATAAGGCCAAAAAAAGCTATCAAATCACAATTCTTGAATCCTCATCGTTTCTGTCGTCTCCCAATTGGAAATTCCACTCCTCAATGGCTCTTAGGCTGTTGAATTTTGCAGGTTATGTATGTTTTTTAGCCCTAATAGTTCAATTTCGGGGTTCAGAGGCTTTGATCTCGGCGCCTGACATCAATCAACAACATCCTAAAGCCATAGCGGTAAGTAATTATCTCAAACTTAACCGATTCGTAAATTCGAATTGTGTTTTTGATCCGATATTCCTATAGATGGTTAAATCAAGTTTGTTCGTATTTCAATTTTCACAAAACCAAGTTTCCGATCTAACTGTATTTCTCATGTGAATTTATCTTGACTATTTCCTGAAACAATCTCTAAACATTCTGAATTTCACTTCGCATCCGATACATCTTTAAACCTAGTCTTATGCCGGTGTTGATGTATAATGGTTCATTTGTTCGTTTTACGCTTAGAAAACTAATGGAAGCTTACCTCAAGATGCGAAATAACTAATCTAGATCAAGAGTGAAGGAATCTATTCCGTGTGTTTCAGGATTTGAAGGAAGCTATTGTCAAAGGATTAGGGCTTCAATCGGATGATTTTAAGATATCTGGCTTTGATGCACGAGACGCCTTAGTCGGCCGATCCTTAGCTTATGAGTTTGATATCGAAATCGATGATAAGATTCTTCCATTTAAACTTATGGAGGATGTCAATAGATGGGAATACGTGGATTTACCTATTTTCCAAATGCAAGATAAGATCATAAACGCCGGTGATGAGAATGGTCTGGTCGAGAAGAAAGTCCTCGGAGAAAGGCTACCTGTTTTGGCTCCATTTCAGCTCGCAGGTCCAATGGAGCTCTGGATCCAAGACGCCAAGGACATGAGGCTTTCCTTGCCTGTAAGTTCCAAGATTCATATGATTCTATACTTTATTGAGAAGAATAAGATTCTGATTTCTTATCGATAAATCTACAGCATGACGTTGATGCTGGTGAACTAAAGAAAATAATCTTAGCAGATGGTGCGGTTGTGACAGTGAAGGGTGCCCGATCGGTCAGCCTACGCCACCCAATCGAGCTTCCACTTCCATTAAACACCACCCAAAACGGCTTCGCTTCAGGTCTCCTAACCCTAGCAGAACGCCTCCGACACGCTTCCCAAACACAAACTCAACTTCTCTCTCTTCGAATCGTGGGCCCTACATCTCTCACATCACCAACTCCATCCTCACCATCTTCAAAGCTCAAACTCAAGCTCAAGCGCCTCGCACCTGGTTTAGTCGAACTCTCTTCGGTTTCAAAAACCGCAATCTCAACCGTTGATCATCTTCAAGAAGACGCCCCGACCCTCCTGACACCGGACCATTTCACCACATTATGGCCGGTGACATCGATCAACGGTTCACACTTGAACCTAGTTGGGTTAGAAAGACTGCTGACGTCGGTTTTGGGTTCGAAAGCCAGTAAAGAGGGTTCGTTTAAGCTTTTGAAAGCAGATGTATCGGCTCGTACTTTTGTGAAGATAGGGTTCAGAGTGGAGAAGAAGCTGAGCGGAAACCTGTCAGAGTGGGAGAGTCAGCGGGTAGGTCAGCTGCCGGAATGGAGGACGAAGCCGGAAACAATGAAGATGCATTTTGAGGTGGTGGCGAAGGTTGATGGAGATAAGTTTGTGCCGGAGAGAGTTGTGCAGATTCAGCCTGTTCCCGTGAAGCATACTGTAGCACAAAGTGTTTTTGTTGGGAACACATCTATGTCTAAGCAGCCTGTTGTTTATACTCCTTTTAGTCCATTTGCGTTATAAAGGTTACAAGAGTTTCTATATGTGAGTCATTGAAAATGAATCCTTTTATTTATCATTTTCAGAGTATGTGCAAAGATCATATGTTTTATAGAATTACTTTCTGTTTTGTGCCTAAAATGAAACTGTCGTTGAGGATTATTGCATATTGATTTCGTAAAACCTAGACATATGGAAAGTGAACTTACACATCATCACTGTATCCAAGCATTAATAGATTATTAAATACCTTAGTTTGCACCCCTGTTGTAACAAAACTCTGTTTAATTTCACATTTTGAAATAAGTTATTATTTCTACATTAAATAAAAGAACATTCCTATATAGCTTGTTGGAGCAAATCATGTCTTCATTAATTTTTTTGTCACTTTTAAACTGCAAGTCATGTCTCTTTTTTTCTTATTATGAATTTACAAGCATACAAACTCGTCTTAGGTATCGAGTATGACTTGCTAATGATGTGTTGCTGCATTTTGGTTGAACATCGGGTCACGTATACCATCAAAACTTATTTGAATTATGAAAAACCTAATATAAACCAGTTTAACCTTTGATTAAAAGGTAAAAATATTCGGATTAAACAAAGTGTCAAATTATATATGGAATTTTTTAATTTACAATGGTTAAAAAGTGACCAAAATATATTAATTTTAATTTAGTTTCCCCTAATTAATAAAGCTTTTGATGAGTTTGCTAAAATGCCATGGTAATACATTTATTTTAATTTGAAAAAAATATATATGCAACTCTTTTTTGGATTATATATTTAAGAAAATCCTAAGCTCATATATTTTCCCTTTATAGGAAAGATGTGCTTTTGCATGGATCCCATGAAGACATAAAACGTCCATACTATGTTTCTTAAATGAGCACGATGAACCCAATCTTTATATTATTTACAAAAGAGATGTTTAGTACTTTTATCGTTGAGTAATTAACTATTAACAATGGAAATGTCACATTCTTTTGAGGATGACAACGTTTTTCTTTCTACATTAGTGAGTTTAAAATCCAATTCAGATTCAATAAAGTTGAAACTCAAAGGGAACCGAATTTGTATTCAGTTTGTGATTTTCAATTTGCATGAAAAGTCTTAATGAATATTGTTGGTTCTGGTTTGATTTTTATGTTGAATAAATTCCAAGTCAAGCGAAATCAAAAGAAATCAAGTATGTGTATCTTTTACAGTTTCCTACTGTTATTGAAATAACATACATAAAGTACAACTACAAACAAAGCTAAATCCTAAAATTAAATATTTAAGATTATATGTAAGGATCATATGTTATAAATAACACAATGAAACTTATAATTTGTTAAAGTTACCTTACTATGAAAGTGTGGTGGTTGAGATACGAAATTTCGCAAAGAATGACCAATTTTCAAATTCGTACACATCCAAAATGCTCTGTGATGTGATAGACCTTCCACTTAACGGGCCTTGAGGTGTGTTCAACATGGGTCTTGGATGTGTATTATATCATTTTTTAGATAAATTCCACAAAATTTACTAAGTTTATACAAAATTTTGATTTTGACACTTCGTTATTTTTTTTGTCTCAATTAAGACACTTTGTTTTGCAATTTGCTTCAATGTTGACCATTTTACCCAGTTGTTAGCCGACGTACAAATCTTTGATGACATGATATGATGACGTGACATGCTGACATGATGACACTATTAGATGACTCCACATTCTTGATGTCAAAATTTTAAAATTAAAAAAAAACTAATGAAGTAACTTTTGTGATAGTTATTCAAAATATAGTGACCTTATGCAATTTGGTATTATCATAAAATTAATAAAAATTCCAAACATTTATAGGTATCATCATAGGTCTAGAATGTCTGTGTGATTTTAATGATTGCAGTTTAAATATTTTTTTTGATAAATATGATTATTTCTTAGTATTTGTTGATCATAAACTTGGAATTAGAATAAATTGGTTTGTCTAACTTGTTATGTTTGGTGTAGGTATAAATTTATCAACGGTGGCTGAATTTATCATCTATATATCTGTATATCTTATAAAAGAATTTTTTTTTTCCGACAAAACTGTAAAAATGGTCTATGTGGTATGAATTTTTTTCGAGGTTTAATCCAAACCCCGACTTTTTTGGCTTTGTGGTCATTTTGAGCTAGTTTCGTTGTGTTTTTTTGTCCCTTAGTAAACTGAAATGACTGTAATACCCTTGTGCATTTATTTTTCTTTTTTCTTTCATTATTTATTTATTTTAATAATTAAAAAATAATTGAGGGCCCACATACAGACACACACACACGCTCTCTCTTTCTCTCTTCAACAAATCACCAGGTTTCTCCTTGGTTTTCACAGAAGACTCGTTGATGTTTGTAGAATCTGGTTCTATTTGTAAACTAACGAAAAACTAAAAAGCAAATACCGGAAGCTTTAAGCAACTTTTGGAAGGACAACATTTGTAGAATAACACTTTCTCAGAGGTGTAATCGTGTTGAAACCCTCATCGAAAACCCTAGCGGATCCCAATTCCAAAAACCTTGTTATTGCTCCAATTTCCAACTAATGGATACCTCAAAAAAAGATGAGGAACATCGATCTACCTGCCAAATCCGACCACCCCAATCTCGAATTCGAAGTCATGAATCGTGTTGTCAAGAAAACCGACCCAAACATCACATATGGTGTCAATCTCCGTGGAAAGAAAGATTTTGCGCCTGATTCAGAAACAAAAGTCCAGAGATCCAAATCAACTTCCTCGATCGATAATCCGATGTTGAACAAGTTGAGAAACGATCTGGAGAGGTTGCTGGAGGATAGCGGGACGGGAGAGTTTGAAGATATGTATGTGGAGAACTTCGCATCTGATTTGCTAAAAGGGTATGGGTGGGTTGAAGGGAGAGGAATTGGGAAGAACGCCAAAGAAGATGTCAAGGTAGTTGAGTACACCAAAAGAACTGGGAAAGAAGGGTTTGGCTTCGTGAATAATATGCCCATCTCACCAACTACTGATAGCAACAACAGATCTACAAAAACAAAAATAGAAAGTGTTAGCAATGGGGGAAAAAGAGATAACTTGTTATAATCTTCTGTAATTAGTTGCTTTAATTTACAGAACAATGTGGATTATACACGGATCTTATGAAAAGGAAAAAGAGATACATATGAATGCATCAGAAATTCGAGAAACGACGTACCTGTAGATGAATCGAAGCCCCAAAACCCTTCCAAAATTCTTCAAAATTTTGAAACCCGTAGATGAACCAACATCATATGAATTTGCATGTAACCTTTTTTTTTTCAGGTTTGCTTTTGGACCCTTGAGTTTTGATTTGTTGCAAGAAGGGTCCCCGATGTGAAAATCCATGACTTTTGGTGTTGCTCGAGTACACGGGGCGTACGCCTTGGTACCTGATCGTACTATGTCCCGTGACCGTACGTTGCGCGTACTTCGGTACGCCGGGCGTACGTGTTTCAGACCAAAACCCTAATAATTAGGGTTTGTGCACTGTTTAAACACCATTATGGCCCCAAGACCTTTCCCTTTATCAACCTCCATCCCAAGATCGACCCACTTTGCAAACCCTAGTTCATTTTGAGCTTTTTAGAGTGATTGTGTGCTTCCTTGGTTGTGAAGAAGGACCTTCAAGGAGTAAGCTTGTCTCTCAAGACTTTGGATCCAACATTTCCTCTTCATTGTGCACCATTTGGAGGTATAAAGCTCCAAACTTAGATTATGTTTCTTTAGATCTTAGTTAAGCCTTGATTTTCTTCCTTCTTGTCCCAAAGTCAAGGGTTTGGTGAGTATGAGGTACTCCTAAGCCTTCAAGGTGTCCTTTCAGACTTTTTAAGGCATTTCAAGTCATAAAGATGCAAGCTTGGACCTTGATTTATCCCTATCCAAGAGTTAGGGTGTAGAAAAGGGTTAGGTAAGCTAGGTTTTTAGTGTTGGGCTTCTTGTAGCCATGCAAAGGCTTAAAGTTTGCAACTTTATGGCCTTTGGGGTCTTAGTGGCTTCAGATCTAAGTTTTGGTCGTAGGGACTTAAGGCATTAAGACAGTTTGCATGAGTTTGCATGAGGGGTGCGTACGTTGGGCGTAACTCCCTGTACGCCGCGCGTACTGCATCCCAATCGCGATCCTCCCACTTCGGTCGAGTACGCTGCACGTACCAGTTGGTACGCCGAGCTTATGGCCCAGTCCAGCTTGGGGTGATTTTTAGGCCTTAATCGTTGGGCTTGCTTGTTGGGCTGGACCATAGACTTACTTGTTATCGGACCTCAAAGATCAGGAGTTTCTTGGGTTTGGCAGGGTACTATCGGAGATTTATTTAGGACTTCTCCAAGATCGTGGTACCCCTCACTCGTTTGACGAGGAATGGGATGGATTTCTGATAGGGCCCTAAGCAGCAATCAGCGTTTGAGACTCTTCGGCAGAGGTTATGTGAGGCCCCAAGTCATGAGTGGCATCACTGGTTTAAGGGCGTTCCTCATGCATAGAGGACGAGTGATTGCTTATGCTTCGCGACAGTTGGAGTCGCATGAGACGCGATATCCCACTCATGATCTGGAGTTGGGGGCAGTGGTTTTTGCCCTCAAGATTTGGAGACATTATCTATATGGGGTCCGTTGTACGGTTTACACATATTACAGGAGTTTGAGACATCTTATGGATAATTCGAACCTGAATATGAGGCAACGCAGGTGGCTGGACGTGGTCAAGGATTATGACTACGAGATCCTTTACCATCCGGGCAAAGCAAATGTGGTAGCGGATGCTTTGAACCACAAGTCGGTTGGGTCTTCAGTCAGGAAGATGTGTATGAGGATATCTGTTGATTCTCTGCTTTTGGGTTTGATCAGAGAGGTGCAGGTTGAGGAAGTTCGGAAGGAGAACTGGAAACAGGAAATGATCACGGGTGAGTTCGACCGGTTTGTCACGGATAGTCGAGGGTTATTGACCTGGTGTGGTCGGGTTTGGGTTCCAGTTTCGGGTGGGATCAATCAGATTGTGTTGGAGGAGGCTCATAAGTCTCGCTTTTCTATTCACCCGGGGGCCACCAAGATGTATCATGATTTGAGATTGAGTTATTGGTGGCCGTGTATGAAGAGGGAGAGCGCCTGGTATGTCGAAAAGGTGCTTGACCTGCAGGTTGGCCAAAGCCGAGCATCAGAGGCCGCATGTAACACCCAAAAATTTCATGCCGATTTAAAACTTTTTCAAGACCCTTAAAAACCAATCATCGTTACAAAGTTTGTTTTCAAAATATATAATATCAGAGTTTTCCCAGAAACATAAACAAATCATGAGGAGCTGTACCATCATGCCTTCGCCTTGCCGCGATCCCCTGATGTACCTGAAACAATAAACTGAAACTGTAAGCCCGAAAGCTTAGTGAGCTCCCCCAAAATACCAACTCCATACCAAAATAACCACAACAATTAACAATTACAGATCAGCATGCATAATGAGCCTTCAGCCTGACTGGACCGCCTCACAGAGCCTACAGCCTATCTGGACCGCTCCCGAGCCTTCGGCATGACTGGACCACCTCGCAGGGCCTATAGCCTATCCGGACCGCTCCCCGGGTATGTTGGCCTACAGCACAAAGCAGGACCGCCTCAAACCAACCCCCAATCAACAAACATGTGCACATAAATACCATACGCTATCTCATATCATATAACAGTCAAACCGATCTAACAGATCACTAATCATTGCAACATCCCAATAACCGTGATGCAAACCTAACCGGTCACTAACATAGCATTATCCTATAACCAGGACGCTAACGTAACCAGGTCACTAAGCATAAGCGTACCATCATCCTAACTACCAGGATGTAATCAATAAACCTATCATGCCATAATCCCGATACAATATATAAAGGACCGACCTTGGTGCCTTAGACCCTGTTGATATAGTGAGGATAACTCACCTTGCAAATGTCGACTCGAAAGATAAGCTCGCCCTCTCGAATCACTGCCGAAAACCCCACCACCTATAGTCGCCATACAACCATGTTCATAAGTTCCCAAAATGCCCCCAAAAGTCCAAAAGTCAACCCATGGTCAAAGTCAAAGTCAACTGCCAAGGTCAACAGTCCATGTTGACCTGAACTTGTCGAGTGAAAATAGACACTTGCCGAGTTCCTTGCATAATTATCCCTCTCGCCGAGTCACACTACTGACTCGCCGAGTTCCTTGCATAATTAACCTTCTCGCCGAGTCACACTACTGACTCGCCGAGTTTACGACAATATTCATCGGAATCGCCGAGTTGTTCATCCAACCCGTCGAGTTCATGACCATCTTCATATGACTCGCCGAGTCTACCATGCGACTCGCCGAGTCTCTTCAATCCTCCATCCTCCATCCTTACAGATGCTTTCTATGCCATGCAAAGGCTCCATATTGCATATCTAAGCTCCTAGGGCATGATTATCACGTAAAGTTGCAAACTTTACATGCATGCAAGATGATAATGCCCCAAAACAAGCTAAAGGAGTGGCTTAAGGTAGAGGAAAGGTCATAGCTTGACAAAGACTGATACTTTATGACAAAGAGGGACTAAAGGAGTCCAGATCTGAGGTTGCAAACCTCAGATCTTAACCCAAAACGGAGAACCACCTCAAAAACCCCCAAAAGGGCTCTAAACCCAAAAATGAAGAGATCTAACTAAAGGAGAGACAAGGTAGCAACTTGTTACCTTCAAAACAGTGCCAAAACAGAGAGGAATCTGGATCTACAACAACCCCTTGCTTCAAACTTCTTGAACTCCAAGCCCCTTTACTCCAAAGATCTCCTTTCAAGATAAGAAGCACACACAAATAGAGGGAAAGCACAATTAGGGTTTCTAAATTCGAGGGAGGCAGTAAGAGAGGCTAGGGGAAATAAGTGATCCTTAAATAGGGTGCAAAACCCCAGAAATTAGGGTTTCATCCTCCAGCTCCTACTCGTCGAGTCCCTTCTTGGACTCGACGAGTAGGTCACTAAAAACACGCGGACCAACTCGCTGCTACTCGGTGAGTAGGGCAACCAACTCGTCGAGTAGACCTTGAAATCAAGAAAATTCTTATATAAAATCAATACCTGAGAATCAGGGCGTTAAACCGCATGACAAGATGCAGCCTCTGGAGGTTACCATGTGGAAATGAGAGCATATCACTATGGATTTTATCACCAAGTTGCCGAAGACGACGAAGGGTTTTGATGCTATATGGGTCATCATGGATCGATTGACCAGGAGTGCCCTCTTTTTGGCTATCTGGGAGAGCTCTTCGGCTGAAAAGTTGGTCGATGTATATGTAAGGGAGATAGTTTCTCGTCGTGGGGTTCCGTTCTCCATTGTTTCAAACTGTGATGTTCGGTTCACCTCCCGTTTTTGGCAGAAGTTCCACGAGGAACTGGCACGAGGTTTCATTTCGACACTGCATATCATCTGTAGACCGACGGCCAGAGCGAGTGGACAATACAAACCCTTGAGGATATGTTGCGGTCCTGTGTTATTGATTTTGTCCCTACCTACCTCTTGCAGATTTCTCCTGCAACAACAGTTATCACTCCAACATTGGTGCTCCACCATTTGAGCTCTTGTATGGGCAGAGATGTCGTACCATGGTTTGTTGGGGAGAGGTTGGTCACATGGTTATGGGAAGGACCGAAGTAGTCCTTCAGAACACGAAGCTTATTCAACAGATCAGGCAGAGACTACAGATAACTCAGAGTCGGCAGAAGAGCTATGCCGACCGGAGCCAATCCGAGTTGGAATTTCAGGTCGGTGATATGGTATTACTGAAGGTCTAACCTTGGAAAGGTGTGATACGCTTCAAGAAGAGAAGGAAGTTGGGTCCCCGGTATATTGGACCTTTTCGAGTGATTTCCACGGTTGTCAAGGTTGTTTATAGGTTGGATCTACCTGAGGAGCTCAGTTGGATTCACAACACTTTCCATGTTTCGCAGCTGCGAAAGTGCGTATTGGATGAGGATGTAGTGGTTTCCTTGGATGATATTCAGGTCGATGAGCGTCTGAACTATGTTGAGAGGCCGGTAGCTATTTTGGAGAGAAAGTTGAAGGTCCTGCGTAACAAGGAGATACCTTTGGTAAAGGTACAGTGGCAGCATCAGAAAGGCTCCGAGTGGACCTGGGAGCCGGAGGCTGAGATGTGTAAGCGCATTATCCTGAGTTATTCTCCGCAGCAGACTTCGAGGACGAAGTCTAATCCAAGTGGGTGAGAATTGAAACATCCCGATGATAAGTTTCACCTTAAGGAGCCTTTTCAAGTTTGGAAGTGTGTTTTTGGTGCCTTAGAAGAAGAAGGAAGGAAGCCAAGCTCATCTTGAAGGAGTGGAACACTTGGATCTGGGGTTTTTACATCATTTGCAACCTTCCTAAGGTAAAAAGCTTGCAACTTTATCCCTCTAGCATATAGATCTTGATTTGGATGTCTTTATGAAGCTTTTTGGTCCCAAAAATGTTAGATCTTGAATATGGCATGTTCTTGACCTTTGAGTTGTCCTTTCAGACCCTAGAAGGGGTCTTAAGTCATAAAAATGGGTTCCAAATGGTTAGTTTTGCTTCATGCATCATTTAGAAGGTCTTAATGGAATAAGACCTTGTGTTAAGCACTTATTGGACATGCTAGGTCATAGAGTTGGAGACTTTATGACTCATAGGAGGATTTTATCCATGGATTTGAATTATGGACGTAAGAGCTTAAGCTATTAAGCTCTTAAATGGAGTTTGGGACCTACGAGGGTATGCCCTGCATACTCGGAGTACGTCCTGCGTACGAGGTCAACCACCCTGATGGTGGTCAACTGCGAGGCTGCGTGTACGCCCAACGTACCTCCGAAGTATGCCCTGCGTATGCACCCTGAGTTGACTCGGTCGAGTTGACCCGGTTGGGTTGACTCAACTGGGTTGACTCAATTGACCTAGTTGGTTTGACCAGTTGAATTTGACCAAGTTTGACCTTGAGGGTATTTTGAGTATTTTGGGGTTTGATGGAAATTGGTCATTGGTAGGAATAGGTGTCGGTTAGAGAGCTGAGATCTGGAGTCGGGACCTCATCATCTTATGTTTAGTTTACAAGGTGAGTTTTCCTCATTGTACTTGCGAGTCGAAGGCACCAAGGCCGACCCTTTGGATTCGATATCCTGTTATGCATGCTATTGTACTGTAGTGATCTTTAAGATCGGTATCCAGGTATATAAGATGATGCTATGCTTAGTGATCTGTAGATCTGTCTGACTGTCTGTAGACTGTTATATGATTATCTGTTATATGTACACATGTTTGGTTGGTGGTTGAGGCTTTACTGCTTTGTGCGTGAGCCAACGGACCAGGGGCATTCCAACCCGATGGTTGATGGGCTCGAAGGTATTTCATCCCGAGGATGACAGGACTCGTTGCGTATTGGCATTCCAACCCGATGGTTGATGGGCCTGGGGTATTCCAATCCGATGGTTGACTGGACCCATAGTGTATTGGCATTCCAACCCGATGGTTGAGGGGCCCGGGGTATTCCAACCCGATGGTTGATTGGACCCGACATGCTGTTATTGTATATTTTATTTGTTTATGTGTTGGTACTTTGGAGGATCTCACTAAGCGTTGACTTACAGTTTTGGGTTATGTTTCAGGTACTTCAGATGACTGCGGGAAGGCGAAAGCGTGACCGTACACATTCTCATGTTTTGATTTATGATTTTGGGAGACTCTGATGTTGAAAATATTTTGAAAACTATGTTCGTAAACGATTTGTGAATTTGGGTTGGTTTTAAAAAATTTAAATTTCTTGTGATTTTTTTTGTGATTTTTATGGGTGTTAACTATTATGTCATTTTCTCTTTATATTATTATAAAGTTATATTTGTTTGTTTTTGGTTGATAAAATCATGAAAAGAAGATTGTAAGTTAGCAAGATAACAAAAAGGGAAAGCTCTACGAAGCATGTAGTGAGAACCTAAATTTCGTTATTGGCGTGTCTCAAATAAGCAATTGTCCAAACCAGCCCATGCATCACATTTCCGTCAACATTGGACGCCAATTACCATCCCAAAATAATTCATAAATATTAAAATATAGTGTTAAAAATTATCTTTTATATAGATTTATATATATGTCGAGCATAAAGAAATAATAAATTTATTTATAGTAGCTCTGATTTAAAAACAAATAAAAAATAGGGTCCTAAAAAATAAAAATAAAATATCACCATCATCAATGAATACATCAAAAATATTAGCAAATACAATACAGAGTCTGTTTTGGTATGTCTGGTTATAGAATATACAAGGATGTATGCATGATCAATCATTTTTATCAATTAGTCTGTTTATTTTGAAGTAATAAGTAAAAAATCAGATATAATAATTGCTCGATACAATGAATTAAGAAAATTTTGGATCAAAGAATAAAACCCCCGATACTTCAAGAGTCCCACTTTCTCACTTCACTTGCATCCACAGGGTTTGACCCAAAAATAAGCACACCATCTTTGATCGTATCCTGCCCGGGTCGCCGGTATGTCGCCGGAATCCATCTCCGGTCATTTACTCCTCCTTCTAGCTCTCTTTTTCTTGGTCGTCAGTCCTTCATTTTCCCAATCCGACCCTCGTCAGATTCTTCTCAAATTCAAGACTGAATTGGCAGGTTCAAGCACACAGGTGTTTATCTCATGGAACGAGAATAACCCCGTTTGTAACTTCACCGGAGTGGTTTGCGACAGCAAGAATTCCATCACAGAAATCAATCTTTCTAATCAAGGACTAGATGGAACTCTTGATTTTGATTCAATTTGTTCTCTTGAATCACTCCAGAAAATCTCACTAGGATCAAATCTTTTGCATGGTAACATCAGTTCTCGCTTATCAGACTGCACCAATTTGCAGCTTCTTGATCTCGGAATGAATCTTTTCTCCGGAAAGTTCCCGGATATATCTTCTTTAACACAGCTACAGTTTCTAAACTTGAATCTCAGTGGTTTTTCCGGCCCATTTCCATGGAAATCGCTCGAAAAACTTACCAACCTGACTTACTTGAGCGTAGGAGACAATCTATTCGATAGAACTCCATTTCCTTCGGAAATCTTCAATCTTATGAAGTTACAAACCCTTTATCTTACAAACTCTAGCATCGAAGGGACGATCCCGGAAGAAATTGGAAACCTCGTTTCATTGAAAAGTCTTGAGCTTTCTTATAATTATCTGGTTGGAGCAATCCCGGAGGGCATTACGAAGCTCACCAATCTTCAAGAGCTTGAGCTGTACGACAATGAACTCTTAGGAGGTTTTCCTGTTGGGTTTAGAAACCTCGTCATGCTTTCGAAACTTGATGTTTCGAATAACAGTCTTGAAGGTGATCTTTCGGAGTTAAGAAACTTGACCCGGATGGAATCTTTACAGTTGTTTGAGAACAATTTTTCAGGGGAAATACCGGTGGAGTTCGGAGAATTCAAGTTTTTAAAGCAATTTTCAATTTATGACAACATGTTCATCGGAGAACTCCCTGCAAAAATTGGGTCGTGGGCAGATTTTCAATATATTGATGTGTCAGAGAACTTCCTGACGGGTTCGATTCCACCTGATATGTGCAAAAATGGGAAAATTATTGAAGTTTTGATGCTTCAGAACAAGTTCACCGGTGGGTTGCCAGAGACTTACGCCAATTGCTCTTCGTTACAGCGATTAAGAATCAGCAATAATTCACTTTCTGGCAGAGTCCCGGATAGGATTTGGGGTTTGCCTAATGTAAGGATGATTGATCTTTCAATGAATCAGTTTGAAGGTCCAGTGGCACCTAATGTCGGTGAAGCCAAGTCATTAGCACAGCTTTTTATAGCTTACAATCGGTTTTCCGGCGAGTTGCCTGAGGAAATATCCAAAGCTTCATCTTTGGTGGAAATGGAGTTGACGCATAATCAGTTCACCGGTGAAATTCCGGCAAGAATTGGTGACCTTAAAAAGCTGAACAGCCTTTATTTAGATGGTAATTTCTTTTCTGGTACCATTCCAGAGTCTCTCGGTTCATGTGTTTCTCTCAACGACTTAAACCTCGCTGGAAATTCTCTCTCTGGGGAAATTCCGGCAAGCCTTGGTTCTTTACATGGCTTGAACTCCTTAAACCTTTCCAACAACAAACTTTCCGGTGTAATTCCGGCGAGTTTCTCCTCACCAAGGCTAAGCCTTATCGATTTGTCTAACAATATGTTGATTGGGCGGGTGCCGGAATCTTTATTGGCGGAGGCGTACAACGATAGCTTCGCTGGAAATCCGGGGTTATGTGCTGATCGGAGCAGAGGTCTCCGGCAATGTGCATCGATTCCTCATAGGTCCGGTGGGTTGGGTGTTGCGAAGTATTGTTTCATCGCCGGTGCCCTCGTGTTAGTGTTGTCCTTGGCGTGTTTTGTCCTTGTAAAGTTAAAGCAAAAAGATAGTGAAAGTATGACAAATCCGTGGGACATTAAACAATTTCATGTTATCAATATCAACGAAAGCGAAATACTACGATCTCTCAAACGAGAGAATTTGATTGGAAAAGGTGGATCTGGGAATGTCTACAAAGTCGAATTGGGATGCGGGAAGCAATTGGCCGTGAAACATATGTGGAAGTCCGACGTTGACCACGGTGACCGGAAAAATCACCCGATATTACCAAAACGGAAAAGTCGGTGGCCGGAATATGATGCCGAGATAGCCACTCTAAGCTCGATTCGACATGTAAATGTGGTGAAGTTGTATTGTAGTATAACGAGTGAGGACTCAAATCTACTTGTTTATGAATACATGCCTAAAGGTAGCTTATGGGATCAGCTACATACATGTCAGAAGATCGAAATGAATTGGAAGGTCCGCTACGAGATTGCAGTCGGGGCAGCAAAGGGATTGGAGTACCTACATCACGGGTGTGATAGACCGGTGATACATCGAGATGTCAAGTCGAGCAATATTTTGTTGGATGAAGAGATGAAGCCGAAAATAGCTGATTTTGGACTTGCAAAGATCATGGAAATAAACAAGATCATGGATTCAACGCATGTCATTGCAGGAACACACGGTTACATTGCTCCTGGTACTTATCTTGCCTTTATCTTGATAATACTTTGTTACAAGTATGGTTTGTTTGGTACAATAAAAAACCGAAATAAGTGGATTAAAACACCACTCCCTCGTAATGAAAACAAGTCTAGTGGAAGCAATCATATCCCTAGAGGAATGTTTCATACAATTCCTAAGTCGTAAATAATTTTTTTTTTCATTTCGTAGTAATAATTGATCTTATTTTAGTTGTGATTGCTACATACCAAACACTACATTAAACTAATGACACTTTTTGCCATGTAGAATATGGATATACATTAAATGTGACTGAGAAAAGTGACATCTATAGTTTTGGAGTTGTTCTCATAGAGTTGGTAACGGGAAAAAAACCTGTGCAACCAGAGTTTGGTGAAAACAAGGATATAGTACGTTGGGTTCACGGCGAAATGAGGAGTAATGACAACCGCATTGCTTTGGTTGACCCTAACATCTCAGAAGAATTTAAGGGACATGCAGCTGATGCTTTGACTATTGCAATAGGTTGCACGATGAGGATCCCTGCGTTAAGACCGTCGATGAAGATGGTTGTGCAAATGCTAGAAAAGATCGAGCCTTATTCACCTATCGATATAATGATCGAGAATGACATCAACGTTGTCAAGACATAAATTTTTATATAAAAAACGATAGTATATGTAAATGTACTCGTACCACATTGTTATATTTTTATGTGATTCTTTATATTTCTAACATACATATTATTTAACTTTTTTTTTTTCATTAGAAGGTTACTGAATTTATGACCAGCTTATACTTTACACATGATAAAGATTAAAGCGAAAAATAGAAAATTAGAAAAAGTTATAAAAGAATAATAAGCCTGCAAAAGGATCCGTTACCGGAGTGCTGCGCTTCTCAGGGCCGTGAGTCAGAGCAACCCCGCCGGGGCGTTTGGGCTCATCATATGTTTACTGTGCTTCAAGCCCGATTTATGGTGGCGCACCCCCCACACAAGCACCGCCCGACTCAAGGGGGGCGGGTAAAAAGTACAAATATAATACTTTGAAAAGCAACCTATTTTCCAGTAAGAAGGAAATGAGGAGGAAGAAGCAAAATAAGACATTTTGAAGTGTAATTTTGAATTTTCTAAGATAGATACAACTTGTATATTTGGTTATCTTTTTGAAATAATTTATTACCAAATTTATATATTTGCTTATTAGCAATGTGGATGATGTTGAATTTGTTGTACTTTTATATATGTCTTATTAAAAAGGGATAAACAAATACTATTTGGATAGTCATGTCGAGCTCATCCCAAAGTCCAACACCCAATCAGGGATAATAAAAGATAATTAGGCAAATCAATAAAATCGACGAGAAATACAACTGTTATCTTCGATGATTTTTGCCACCTCGCCCTCCATAAATCATACGTTTTCATATTTTATCAAAAATATCATTTGCATATATTTATGATTTTTAGGATCTCAAAACATAAACATCATCATATATAAAGCATCCTGCAAACTCTTTTCTGTGTAGGTTTTTTTTAGGTTAAATTCATAAAAGATCTACAAGTTTGACTTTTCGGTTTAAACAAAAAAAAATTACAAAAAAAAAAAACAACTTTCGTAAATTTTCTGTTTTACATGCTTATTTGAAGTTAACATGTAAACCGGATACTCGAGCAAAATGAAAAGGAATTAAAAAGGTTTTTTTGTTATTTTTTATAAAACAAAAAGTTGATTTAAACCAAAAATTTATAAAATGTACGAGTCGTTATTGAAATTGACTCAAAAGTTTATATATAGACGTGTTTGGTAGCGAAGGTTTGGAACCACTAGCTTTTAATGTTTAACAAAGAACTAGATTTAAACATAAAATTTCGTTTGGAAATACAAACGTTCAGTTTTTAATTTAAACAAAAAACTTCGAATATAATAGCTATTTCACGTAATGTTTAAAAAACCTATTGAGTTTTTTTAATCAATTTTCAAGATTGTATTTAGATATTTCATATTTATCTTTTTAAAGGATTGTCCTTTTATATAATTTTACCCAATTAAAAGTTTTTAATTATTTTTATAAAAAAATAACAGATAAAAATTATAATTTTCAACTATAGCTAATAGCTAACAACTTCAGTGTCATGCCAAACACACCCATAGATTGGAATTAGTCTTACAAACCATGGAATCTGAATCTGAATGAATGAAGACAATGGGTAGGATTGTTAACCAATTTCTAATGATTGCATTATTGTAATAAAAAAAAGTGAAAACCATGGCAAACCAGACCTAATGATTGGGCATTCGATACTCGATAGGTACGTATTTTTTCACCCATTTCAATTTCTAAAATGAGTTTAGGGCTTCTACAAAACACTCTTCTTCCTCACTTCTCTGCTACTCCACTTTCCATCTCCCAATCCCACAATCTATTGTTCACATTTCCCCACAATAAGAATCCCACTTTCACAGGTCTCTCTCTCTCTCTCTCTCTCTCTCTCTCTCTCTCTCTCAAGATTCCATCGTTAAAGATTTAATACTTTCTGTCTTCGATCACAAGAACAAACTGTCTTTTTAGGTTTCCCTTTTCTTAAACTAATTTCTCGTAAAAAAAAACCATATGAATTCTTGTTAATTTGTTACTAACTATCAATTTCGGCGAGTTACGTGAGAGAATTATATGTTTTGAGTTTTCGAGATTCGAAGTTTTAAGATCAAACGCCTGTCGGACACATTGATGATCGAAAAAATCTAATTGGGTTTTTGCAGGACGAGGGAGTTTAATTTTGAGAGCTCAGATTTCTTGCAATAAGAGCGAATTAATACCACTAATCAAAGAATCTATGGATTTAAAGAAAGAGGTTCAAGAGTTAAACAGGAATCTTTATGAACATATAGAACCATATGCTACTGGTTTTTTGAAAGTTTCTGATCTTCACACAATCTACTGGGAGCAATCTGGGAATCCTTCTGGCCATGTCAGTGATCAATCATTACTTAATTTTCTATTCATAGTCTCTTGATTCCACATCTCAATGTTTTTTTCTTGATTCACTAGATTATGATTATGATTATATGAGATCATTTAGGGCAAAAGGAGATTAAATCAAAATTACATGGTTATATCTAGTTTGTTTATGATCCTTTAATACATTGCAGCCAGTTGTATTTCTCCATGGGGGTCCAGGAGGTGGAACTTCACCAAGTAATAGAAGATTTTTTGATCCTGAATTCTATCGTATTATTCTATTTGATCAGGTAGACACCAAACATAGTACAAGCCTACATGATTTTTAAAGTTATTTCACCTTTTTTATTGTTGTTCTTTTAGAGAGGAGCTGGTAAGAGTACACCTCATGCTTGTTTGGAGGAGAACACAACATGGGATCTCATTAAAGATATTGAAAAACTAAGAGAACACCTTCAAATCCCCGAGTGGCAGGTTTGTTTTTTGTTTACTTTAAATGATTTATTGAATGTGAATCACCTATTTTTATCATTTTCTTGATTTGTTTATTATTAGGTGTTTGGTGGCTCATGGGGAAGCACACTTGCTCTTGCATACAGCCAATCCCACCCTGATAAGGTATCACTTTTGTTTCAATGTAAAAACTTAGGATTCTGTTAAGTCGTTCTTTCTGTATTAAGTCAAAAGCTTACTGGTTTTTTGTCTTGTGATTTTAAGGTGACTGGGATAGTTCTTAGAGGGATCTTTTTATTGAGGAAGAAAGAGATTGATTGGTTTTATGAAGGTGGTGCTGCTGCAATCTACCCTGATGGTAAGCTTCTATTGTTATTTACTTATTTTTTTTATTTGTGTTACAATGAATAAATTGTTATTTTTTAAATACTACAGCTTGGGAACCATTTAGGGATCTTATACCAGAAAAGGAAAGAGACTGCTTTGTGATTGCTTACCATAAGAGATTGAACTCCCCTGACATAAACACACAAGTAATAGAGAGGACTTTGTTGTGATGCATAAATAAATGTATTTTGGTTTTTATTTTATTTTATAAATGTTGGTTGTATTTTTGTTATTAGTATGCAGCTGCAAGAGCTTGGACTAAATGGGAAATGATGACTGCTCATTTGCTGCCAAATGAAGAGACTATTAAGAGAGGGGACAATGATGCTTTCTCTCTGGCAAGAGTTTAATTACTATTATTTATTGCATAGTTTGATTGTCTTTTTGATGTAAATAAAAGAAATTGTGTTTAAACTAAACATGCAGGCTTTTGCAAGGATTGAGAACCATTACTTTGTGAATAAGGGGTTCTTTTCAACAGATTCATACCTCTTGGATAATATTCACAAGATCAAGCATATTAACGCTGTAATTGTCCAAGTAAGATCATTTTCAATTGTGTTCCTAATTTTGTTAATCAAATGTCTAAAATACCCTTTAATTAGACTGGTTTTTGATTAAATTGTGGAATATTTTGACAGGGAAGATATGATTGTTGCTGCCCCATGATGTCAGCATGGGATCTGCATAAAGCTTGGCCGGAAGCCGAATTTAAGGTATTTATTATCATCAAACCTTTTTAAAAATTTAATTTAGAAAAATTATTTTTGGTAGTTGTTGATGAATGAGTATTTTTTGTTGTTGAAACAGAAAATTATTTTTGGTAGTTGTTGATGAATGAGTATTTTTTGTTGTTGAAACAGGTGGTTTCAGATGCAGGGCATTCTGCTAATGAACCAGGCATAGCAGCAGAACTTGTAGCAGCAAATGAAAAGCTCAAGAACATCATCAAGACCAGATAAGATAGATACAATTTTGGACACAACATAAATAGCATTGCGTTTTTGAATTCCATGTATGAGATCATAAACATTAAGATCAACTGTTTTTGCATAAGAATCAATCAATTGGATAATTGAACAAATGAATGTCATGGAACAAAAACTGAAATTCAATGAATGATTGAGGAAATAGATCTTACATACAACATAGAAACCATCAACCACCATGGAATGGAATTGATGCAACTTTAAGCAATTTTCTTGAAGCAACCCTTTGGCAGATGTGAGGTGTGAAAATTCGGTTCTTTAGCAATAGTTACAGACAGCTTTCCTTGTGATGTTGACCTTGGAGCAGAAGCTGCTCTAGTTTTGTTCACTGCCACCTCATCACCGGTTAATTTACAAGATTTCTCCTTTATTACACCCAATTGCTGACCTGGCCTCCTTATCTTCTTCCTAGGTGAAGCAACCCTGCATATACAGTTTTTTTTATATACAATCCAGTTAGAAAAGTTTTTATTGTTTTCAAAAAAAAAAAAAGGTTACCTTTCAGGTTGTTGCTGGATAGAAGGTGATCTTGTCCTTAAACTGGCTTTAGGTCTTTGCTGTGTTGTATTAGTAGGAACTTGCATCCTTTTTTTTACTAGACTTATGTCTTTTGCAACCTCTTTCTCACGAGCAGGAAGATGAAGCTTTCTCTCTAATATGGCTTCTTTAAGAATCCCTCTTTCCTAAAAGAATAATCATTTATAAAGTGATTAAAGAATAATCATTTATAAAGTGAAGTAGAAATGAAAGTGCAAAAACAAAATGCTTACATCGGTTCTTAGCCTAAAAGGCTTGACGTTAGTAGGTTGTGGTTTTTTACATTTTGGCAGTGCAGGACGAGCAGTTTGAACTACCTATACAGTGCATACAAAGTTATAAGCTATTAGAAACTAAAAGGGACTATTTAAAAATTGAATTTTTTGAAAAAAAAAAAAAGAAAGAAAGTAGAATCTAACCTTATTCTTTTTAAGTGTCTCCTTGCCAAGAGTCTTATTGCCCAATGGTTGGTTTTTAAATCTGTTTGTATAAAAATTATAAGCATTGTGATGAGAACCAAAAGAGAGAAAGTAAAAAAGCAGAAATTACAAAATTTTTCATACCTGTTATTATCTTGAGGATTTGGAGCATTTTCTTTACCATCATCTTCGTTTGAATGATGTTCTAAACTTCCCATATCCTCTTTATCTTCTAAATTCCGTGCATTTTCTTTATCCTCATCATCATCTTCTTTTGAATGATGTTCTACACTTCCCATATTCTCTTTATCTTCTAAATTTGGCAACAATTTAATTTCAGCTTTAGAAGCATGTGGGATTGAATTGTCAGAAGTTTCTTTAGGTTGCAGATTCTCTTCTGTTTTTACATTAACATCCATGTCACCAGACTCATTATGATTTGGGATCTTCTTGGTAGACTTGGAAGGTGCCAAATCCTTGGACTTTTTATCACTTTTGCAAATCTTCACTTGCTTTCTTGAAGAATCTTCAGTTAACTTGCTTTTGATACTCTTTGTTGTCTTCTTTTGGCTTGCTATCTCAAGCCTCTTCATCCCTTCACAAATCTTCTTTAAAGGGGTACGCAATTCAACAGACTTTTTAAGACTGATGGCCTTCTTAGGAGAGTGAAAAACAAGAGCCTTTGCTACTGTTCGATTCTTAGCCACATCAACAGTGGTTGTCTTTGGATTTGGTACACTTTGACATGAGTTAGGATTTGGAAGACACTTTTTGTTCCTTGGAGTTGTCATGTACTTGGCAGCAACTTGTCTTGTCTTGGCCACAGGGGTAGAACCGACTTTTGAACAAGGTCTGATATTGCTCTGTTGGTCACTTATCTTTTGAGAAATCGAACAAGAAACACCTGCTAACCTTGGTATCCTGGGCTTTGAAGGTTTTGCAGGAGCTGAAAGTGGACATTTCATGCTAAAGAAACAGAATTGGAAGTGTTAGTATTTGATTCTCAGTTTTTTCTGTTACCAATGAGGGTATTATAGTCTTTATGTACGTACCTAGATTGATCCCTGTTTAGTGCTCTTCGAAGCTTAATATTGGGACTTCTTGCTGCCAAGACCTGTTGGAAATTTATCAGTTTCTAAAAGGTCATGCCTAGATTCGAGCGTATTGTTATTGCAATAAAAAGAGGAACACTCACCCGAAGAACAAAGTTTTTAGAGATCTCTTCTGGGTTTATTTCTTCCTCATGCTTTCTGTCACAACCTGGACACAATTCGGATCATGTTAATTTGTGTGAAATAAGGATAATGCGTAGATCTACATAGCTGAATATAAACCCATACCCAAAATAATCCCATTTTGCAGATTCATAACCTACTTTGAATTCCAATTTATGCACCCCGTTCTAGTTGCGAAGTAACAAAAAAGCCATATAAAATTACTAAAAAATGGGTGTTTCTTAAGCTTCTACTAACCAATTCCGGTAGGATTTTTCAAAGAGCGACGTTTAAGCCTTAAACTTTATCAAACATCAGCTAAATTCCTAGAACGAGCGAATCAGTGGGACTATATAAAATAAGGACTGATCCGACTAAACCCTAAATTTCACCATTACAGCTAAGTTCTAAATCGAAAACGTCCCGAATTCATTGATTGATTTACCGAAGTGAGGAATTTGAATGACATACCAACCCGGGAGCAGAACCAGTAGCGATCATCAGTGCGGAAGGGGTAGGGTTTAGTGAAATCGATGAACTTAGGCGCTTCAATTCTCTCATAGAACTCCTCGTCGTCCTCGTCTTCGTCCTCCACCTTCCTAACTTCTTCCTGATCCACCTCTGCTTCCTCTGTATTCATATCTGTTTCCTCTACCATGTTGCCGTTGACCACCTCCTGCACTGATTCAAGCACTTGCTCTTCCATTTTTTTTCGACACAAGAAAGATCGATCGAGAGAAAAATGTAGCCGTTGAATTCTTCTTACAATCGCATTGATTTGTGTGCGAGATCTGTTTAATTTTTGAACTTGTTGTGTGTCTGCAACTAGCCGTTGGGAATCGTCGCATCCGCATCCGATGCGTGATTCAGTAAGGCAATTGGGCTTTTCATACTATTGGATTAATGGATTCCGTAACTCTTAAAACAAAAATAATTATGGGTTAAAGCCCAATACTAATAAAAAGTCAAAGCATTAAGTTTTTACGAAAAGTAAAACAAAACTTTAATATCGAGTTTTATTTCAAACTTTTAGGTTGAATCCTGTCAACACAGACCGGTTTCAAAATCTATTCGGTTTTTCGTCAATGATGGTCAAATTGATCATCCATTTTGTTTTGTTCTTTGAAAGCGAGACACATTCTCAAAACTATTTCCGTCTCTTGTATTTGTGCCCTTTTAGCAAAATTTATGTTGGTTTCGATCGAGTACATAGGATATTTTTTCAAGTAATTCTCAATGTGGCACTACAAGTAATAACGATAACGATAGACATTTTCTTTAAATATTTCACAAATTTGGCTTTCATTGGTCTTACCCTTTCTCAGTTTCGTTTTACATTTCAAATTTATTTAATATCGAGCATATTAAAGAGACTTCGACAAGGAAACTTATAATATAATAAACACATCATAAAAAGTAGTTGTTGGTTCAAAAACTCCAAGCATATCGGTTAATGTTGGATAAGTAACCAACTCGACTCGGTAAATGGGATAACTCTAGTGGGGATGAAGCACTTTTAAACTTTCTTTTTGTCGTAAAGCATTTCAAATATATTGTATGTTGACTTCCATGGAATAGGTACGTCCCAATTAAGACCTAAACAATAGAAATTGCATCATTACATGACTTTATATATTTATAATATCTACAGTAGTACTAAATAATATCACATAGAATTTCCTTAAATTTTTTCCTTTCTATCTTCTATATATTTACGTTTGTCTTGCAAGTTGCAAAATCAGTTTAATGATGTATGCAACATATTGAGTATTTAAAAAACATTGTGGCAAATTGGTTAATATTTTAACTTTAATTATCCAAACATGACGACATTTTTTTTGTGGAAAGACTGAATTTTATAGCTAGCTAGAAGCTAAAAAAATTACAAATGGATAACAAGAATTGAGTTTTAAAACAAAGGAACCCATCTACTTTAAGGTTTTGATTTCTATGCACAAACAAAGTCAAAGTAATCCTTAGGCTGGTGGGAGTGGGCTTGGCAGCGAACACCGGGCCGGGGCTAAGGACTCGGCATGCCAAGCTCGGCTCGGCAACTCGGCGAAAATGCACCGCTAAGAGAGAAAAGATGGTTGGCGAAATTGAATTTTTTTTGAACGTTGGAGTTGGTCTTTTGACCTTTTTTTTCAAAACAAAATTCAAAAAATCTCATTTGTTTACCCTATATAAATACCTTTACATACCATATTTCATCCCACTTCACCTTCTTCATTTTTTTTACACAAACAACATAATTTTTGTGAAAAAAATGACTTCTCCTTCCAACCCAAAAGCTCAAAAAAAAACACCAAAAGAAACACCCAAAACACAAACCCAATCTCACATTCTTCACCAAATTTCGTTCAAAGCCAAAGCGATTGACCTATTTATTCACCTCCAAATTCACACTTTGGTGGTGTTTACTACCAATTCCAAGCCCAAAACCAACATCAATACCAAAACCAACCTCAATTCCAAAACCAACCTCTATTTCAAAGACAACTTCAATTTCAAAACCAACCTCAAATGAACTTTTCATTGTCTCTAAATTGACTAGCCCGGATCTACGGGCGTTACAGGTTCCCCTATGGACTAGACGAGTCCTTCTGTCTGTTTGGCCATCTTAACAGATTAAGCCCCTATTTTCTAGATCCAAGATTCCTATCTCGTTTTTCCACTGGAAAGACCTTCTTAAGGGTAAAGTTTCCAGCTTTACCCATTCATAGCTCTACTAAAAGGGTTTATACAAAACCCTAATTCTTATAATACATGAATCTTGTCTAAAAGGCCATATAATCTCAAATCCACGCATACAAACCCAGATCTAAGGTCTTAGCATCTGCTGGACACATAAAGCTTCGAACTTTCCTTCCATGCATTGTCTTTTAGGGCTAAAAAGACCATAAACTTGCTCATATGCTTGCATGGGGATTCCATGGTCATAAAGTTTGCACCTTTATTCCATGGAACCCTTTCTAGATCCTAGATCTGAGATATAAGTCACTTGGGACGTCCCAACCCCAAGGACCAAGGTTCTTGACTCAAAGCTTTCACAATATGGAGTTAACTAGATCTAAGAGAAGAATGATCAAGTTGGAAGCTTGATTACCAGAAAATGCAGTAAATGAAGTGTAGCTCCTGGATCTACTTCTTCCCCTTTGAGTCTTCAATCTTCTACTTCTTCTACAAGCTTCACAATGCACAAAAACACTCAAAAATGGCAAGAACTAGTTGAGGCCACTTATGGCGGATTAGGGTTTCAATAATAGGGTTTGGAGGTGATGGAGGCTGGGGTGGAGGCCAGATATGATGCTTAAATAGGGTGCAAGCCCTGAAAATTAGGGTTTCCTCCTGATGGACCTACTCGCCGAGTCCAGGCTCGGACTCGCTGAGTAAACCATTTAAATCCCGCGACCAAGCTGGCACCTACTCGATGAGTTAGGGCTACCAACTCGTCGAGTAGCTCTTACAAAATGAAAATTTTAATAAATTAAATACATACCAGGAACGGGGCGTTACACAAATGTGGCAACCCATGCCATGTAAATGGAAAATTTTTGAAGGAGTGTGGCAAATTTGACGTGGTGCCTATGTGGACCGTGACAAATGTGACACCACTCCCTCCAGCCTTACAATACTATCAAAAAAGACATCACTTCTCGGTTTACTTGCGTCGAATAAAAAAGAGTTTTTAGACTTCCAAATATACCACCAAGCCTCTAGGAAAATTACATCCAAGACCACATATTCATAATTTGACCAAGGTAAAGTGTCACGCAATAATATCAAATCACGGACCTAATTAAACATAGGAATGAGAATATCACACCACTAACCAATTCACTCCAAAAGTTACACAACCACCTCAGATTAAAAAAAATGATCCATCCCCTCCACATGATTTTTGCAAACAGAGCATAAAGTAGAAGGAAGATGATTACCTATAGACACCAAATTTTCCTTATTAGAAAGATGATTCAACAGAATGCTCCACAAAAGAATATTGACTTTCCTAGGCATAAACCTATGCCACCTTGTAGCACAATAACCACTCGTTAACAAGTTATTGTCAATATGGCTTCTCGTGGATCTAACCGTAAAGTCTCTTCAAATTTAAAAGATCCCAAATCCACTTATCTGTTTGAGGGACCAACACGGTCGATTCCTATAAGCTGAAAAGAGTCGAGAGCTGTTCAAACTTGGTTCCAACCCTTGGATCTCGCCTCCAATTCCATATCTAGATACCAACTTCTCTTCTATCCGAAATGAGGCAATATTTTTCTTGTTCAAATTGAAAAAGTATTGGAAAAGTGATAAGTTACATTTCTAATCCAAATCTCATTCCATAATTAATTCATTGTCCTATTCTCCACACATTTTTTCAATGTCAAAAGAGGTATATGTTGGGAATAGTATCCAAGATCATAACTATTAGTAATATTGTCATATTCTCCTCAAGACCTAGTTGAATAACTAAAAGACAAAAGGAAAATTGGAGAAATTAGTTTATTAATTTGTCATGTTGTGATCAATTAATTAGAAACTATTCTGGAATTAATTGTTAGATTATAATTGATTATAGGGTCTGTATGTTAATTAAGTAAAAGGTTTAATTAATAGAAATAATCCTTGAGGATTTTAGAAATAAGATAGTTGCTTTGGCTCTAAGAAACTAGATGCCTATAAATAGGGAGCTGGAGATCAAACCCTAGATGCTCCTTGTTACTCCTAAATCTTGTCCGCTCCTTGCCTTCCTCCGAGGTGACGCAAAACAACCCTTCTATGGTTTTAGTTTTCGTGGTTTTATCCCCTATCATAGGGTTTGTCACATTGTTCAATTGGTGTTCTTGTTAGGGTGCAAAGTTCTCCTTGGATGTGGAGTGTTGGCTTACCCTCTTGTATGTGTAAATGAGTTGAGTCTTTCCTATAATTAGGAAGTGAGTGACTCCCATTATGTAAGAACCATTTTGTGAGTGTTAGTTTAGTGAGATAAAGAACAAACCCACTTGTACTCTTACTATTCTAATAAAGCTTAAATGATTTTATTTACTCCTTGTGTTCTTGATGCTTGCATGATTCACTAGATCTTTTCAATTCCGCACATGTCATCATAATTAGGATCACTACAATTGGTATCAGAGCGGGTGTTCTTGAAGCTCTCAAGAATTGATCCATGATGACTACATGATTTAAGTGAATCTTCATTGTTGTGGGTTCTTCATCTTTGAGAAAGTTTGTGTTCTAGAAATCAAATTTTTTCTTGATTTGATCCATAATTCGATTTTCTCTCTCTATAATACTTGTTTGTATCACTTTCTCTCTCTAGAATTTGGTTCATATTCACTTTCTCTCTCTAGATATTTCATTCATAATCACTTTCTCTCTCTAGAAAGTTGCAAGTTTTTGTGATCATGGTATATTTGGCTTATGATTCTTGGGTTGTGATGATTGAAGATGTCAAATACAAAGTCAACGAGAAACAAATTTATGGGTTATTGTTGAAAGGCGGGTTAATTTCAAGGGAAACTTTGATTTCTTATGTAGGATTGAAAGATGATCAAGGAAAGTTGATATTTCAACCTCTTAATACGATTGATTGCTTGATTGAAATCACCATGAATATGTTATCTTGGAGTGCTAATCAAAAGGAAGGAAAATAAAGGGAATTACTCGATAAGGAATATGTTTATGTTATTGAACACCTAAATGATCTTCATGTTCTTAAGTTTGTTGAATTTCAAGAAATGGGAATTCAATGTGATTTTGATGAAAATGTGAAAGTTTTTCGTT